AACTGATATAATGTATAGGTCCTGTAGTATCTGGTGACATCTTGTGACACCTGATATAATGTATAGGTCCTGTAGTATCTGGTGACATCTTGTGACCTCTGATATAATGTATAGAACCTGTAGTATCTGGTGACATCTTGTGACACCTGATATAATGTATAGGTCCTGTAGTATCTGGTGACATCTTGTGACACCTGATATAATGTATAGGTCCTGTAGTATCTGGTGACATCTTGTGACACCTGATATACATGTATAGGTCCTGTAGTATCTGGTGACATCTTGTGACACCTGATATAATGTATAGGTCCTGTAGTATCTGGTGACATCTTGTGACACCTGATATAATGTATAGGTCCTGTAGTATCTGGTGACATCTTGTGACACCTGATATAATGTATAGGTCCTGTAGTATCTGGTGACATCTTGTGACACCTGATATAATGTATAGGTCCTGTAGTATCTGGTGACATCTTGTGACACCTGATATAATGTATAGGTCCTGTAGTATCTGGTGACATCTTGTGACACCTGATATACATGTATAGAACCTGTAGTATCTGGTGACATCTTGTGACACCTGATATAATGTATAGGTCCTGTAGTATCTGGTGACATCTTGTGACACCTGATATAATGTATAGGTCCTGTAGTATCTGGTGACATCTTGTGACACCTGATATATTGTATAGGTCCTGTAGTATCTGGTGACATCTTGTGACACCTGAAATAATGTATAGGTCCTGTAGTATCTGGTGACATCTTGTGACCTCTGATATACATGTATAGGTCCTGCAGTATCTGGTGACATCTTGTGACACCTGATACAATGTACAATCTGAAATCAGGATTTTGTTTCCCAAATGTTTGTAAAAGTCAATCACCTATCTATCACCCATTTCACACTTACACATGTATAAAGAAATGTTGTATCATCAGTAAGAGTTATTTCCCTTAGCATATGTCTTGACTACAATATTTAAAGTCATTTTAACTAATAACAATGCATCATCAGCAAGAGTTATTTCCCTTAGTATATGTCTACACTAAAACAGACAGGCAGCAATCTGTATAATGGCATTTGTTGGATAAGGAAATAATACTACATTATTAGATGAGTTCTTGTTATACATCCATACAAACTACATACACCTCTAAACATGATGCTATAATTTCTAACCCATAAGTCTCTCTTTATCATCAATCAGTTTTATTCTGAATCAGCCCAGGAGCAACTAGATATTCTGGGGCTGATATATTATACTACACAGGCCCCTCTCCTAGATACAATTTGATGTATCTCAAATGTTGTTTCTGCATGATGGTCTCATGTTACACCAGAAAGGGTTATGGTAGGAAAGACAAAATTCTTTTAATTCAATGACATTCATAACCCTATGAATACTATGTTTTAGAAGGATATATCAACTGTATACAAGATTTTTTCCCAATCAAAAAATTAACAGAGAGATTGGGAGAGGTCATTAAATATATAATTCCCTACAATCTGTAAATACTGATTAAAGGCAAGGTTTTTCTAATAGTATCATAGATTTATCATTGTGTCAGTTATTCAACAGAAAAATAAATCTCAAGTTTCATTATCTGTAGGGGCACAATAAGACTTTCTTACAAACCTCATAAATAATCACATCCTGTTACAAATTTGTTTACGTCAATAGGTTAGAAAATCAGAAGATGTAACTAACATCCTCGCAGTCCTGTCTAATTTGTGTTACAGATAACCCATCCCATTTCATTTAGTAAACACAAGTATCTTTTTGTGTGTATGATTATCCAGTACAAACAGTGCAGAACAACAATCATCCCACAAACAACAAAGTTCAATTGATCACAGATTATTGAATTTGTCACAAGATAAAGCACCTAGTAGGCATGTGATCTTATAAAACACTTAAAACCGCCTATGTATACACCGCCAGGAACAGGCCTCATGTCCTGTCCGTCCTGTAGGTGTTTACATCACCATACTATCATCAAGGTGGACCTATAAAGTTAATTAACATCTTGTACAAAGTACAACAGCAGATGAATCATGTACACTACCATATACACTATATAGTGTTAATCATGTATACTCAGTATATCAGTACATAGTTAGGTCATATGTACTATGAGCATTTTCTACTGCCCAAATTCAACCCTTAAAACGTGTGGCAAATTACCATTGAATTCTACCATTTATAATAACTATAGTAACAATAAACTGTTGCCTGGGGACCAACTCATAGTGTATGATAATTTGAGTTTGTCTGTTTATATAAATATAACTGAATGTTACATGAGACAAATATTTTTATTGGCCAATTGTTTTATGTTATCTCCCGATACCATAAAAAAAAGCTGATGTCATTGTGCAACTTATGTTTGGCCAATTCAGCAGTGTAAGAAATTGTCAATGGAAAGAGTCCTTTGTAAATGTCAAAAACATTGCAAAAAGGCACGACTTTGTAAAAAGGAGAAATAACTCATCTCGATATTGATGACGCACATTTGCAATGTATATGAATTATTGCCAGTAAGTTTCACTGAAGTCCACTCAGTAGTATAGGAGATGTAGCTAGTACATCATTACGTTCTCAAACGGGCATAACCTTCTGAAAAGGGAAAATAACTCAACATGATATAAATTATGCACATCTACAATGTTTATAGGGATTATAGCCAGCAAATATTGTTGATAGTAATTTAGCAGTTTCGGAGGAGTAGCCAGTACATCATTGTGTTTACAGATGGACAGACAGAAGAACGGTCAGAAGGACGGACAACATGATTCCAGATTGATTGTCTAGATATAGACCTGGCATTTAATACACTGCATTACCACTTACAAATGTAGGAATTCTCTATGGAGTATTTTCTATTTTTATTCCATTCCTTCTTGCTTTCTAAACCTATTGTGTTATAAAGTCCCAGCTGGTGGACATTCTTAAGGCTTAACTGTTGCCATATAACGATTTCATAGGTGAAGACAGCTACTGAAAAATTTCAAAGACAAGGTTGCAAGAGATAAAGGTTGATGAAGACTTAAAAGGAAAGTGTAATGGTTGTCATAACCATCAGATCTCTTTGAGAAATATTCTACCTGTTCATGCAACATGAAGTTAGATTTGATCGATGTTTGTTAGTATGTCTGGTGACGTTGTTATTTAAACCCAGTGCTACGTGACCTAACAAGAATGACTAACACCCCTTTATCTACCTACATGGAGTATATCTATAGATTTTCATGTCATGTATCAGTGATAAAACAATGATTACTTCACTTGGTCTTATTTTAATGTATATTTCTCTAGTTCATACATGTCAGTATAAATTCCAGGTGCAACTGATTACCAGATTAATCAAGAAAATGTCAAACAGAACTGAGAAAGATACACTTAATTCCCTCATCTACAAACATAAGCCTGCAGATCCGAATGTCATTATGTTTAAGGAAGTAACTATCATGTAAGACAGAATTTGAATAAAGTAACATCCTGCAGTTTTATTAAATATGCTTAGATACTGCTTCCTTTTACAACGTGTAAAAATTATTTCCTTCACAACAAATTACTGCCATCAGCAGCGGTTTACTAAAAACTCTAGCTTATGTTAATTCGTTAAACTTGTTAGCAATATCAAGTTTGTTTTCATTTTTTTTTTTTTTTAGTTGAACAGGTGTATCATACATCTTTAATGTGAAAATTTCAGACTCAGTAAGAGTAAGAAACAGATCTTACCCTTGATTCTGTAGCAGTAGATCCTGGAGGAAATTTGTACTGGGTGTAATTGGATTTGCCAGTCTACATAAATAACACTACAATGTTACATGTACTCTAGACAGAGCGCTTCAGATAATGTGTGTAGCACTTCAGACTTGTAAAACAAAACAGTCTGTACACAATAGCTCATTAGTGAACCACTTCAGTGTCTAATTGCTAATTAATACATGTAAAGAGATGCTCTACACAATATGGCACATCGTTTGGAAAACAGGGGAAGAGAAGTTCAAGCTCTAGATGTGATGGGTTAGTAACGGAGGGGGAGAGGGGGTGTGTAATATCTGATTATTGGTAAATACACTGTTAAGAGCAGGTGCCAGGTGTCCATTTTATATTATCATTTACAAACAAACATTTACATAACAAGCACTAGCTGCCACGTTTTCTCATTCATACCAACTGTGTATTAGTCTGATGCCAGGTGCTTTGCTATCCTGGATTGTCAACTTTTCTACAGTAATATCATTTACAAAATTTTAGACAATTAAATTTGAAATATCCAGAATTATCGTTGATTAAAATACTGCTTACATGATGCTTTCTTTACTAAATCTTTGTCATTATACTTCCTTTCTGTGGGGGATGTTAGTATTATTGTTTTGTTCTGTTAATCTTAATGTACATTTATTTTACTAAAACTTTTTCAGACATCCAGAGTCATGTTATCAAAGACTACTGTATACTATACATGAAAGCTTCTTTCTCAACTCTGTGCTTAACATGGGCCTCATTCTGAATTGAATTTATTTCATAATTTGCTAAATTCACGAAATATATAATTTACTCCTAAAACTTTCCTTTCCAAATGACCATTTTACCCGGAAATGAGATAAAAAGGCCTATTCCCAAATGAGTGGAAAAAAGCAGTGACATATACAATCATTTAAACCCCCAATTAATATAAATCAATGTGGAATAATACTGCTTATCAAAGGTCAATATCAAAAATACAACTACATGGTACAAAAGCAGACAAGTTTGGAATAAATAAAGCACTTTGTCTAGACAGGAGCCTGACTATCTTACAATCACATATGAAGTGATTTCAAAAAATGTACTACATACATACAAACTGCATATCGTATGGTGAAAACTTTTTATCAATATCGAAGGGAATTGAATTAAACTCCTGTCTTATTTAGTAACAAGCCAGAGAAGCATGTAATGTTTAGGATTATGTCAACATAATTCCTAGTCGTCAGCTGTAACATATACCGTGAAGTAGCTTGTCCACATCATAGGGGTCCGAGTATTCCTCTGGTTTGGGACGAGGGATGCCTCCAACACTGTCCTTTTTTCTATCAGGTGGTTCTGTGTAGTCTCCTAGCTGTATCTGTAATGGATCCAGATAAAATCTTGTACCATGCAGTTATAACTAGGTACATTAACATACTGATAAACATGTTATTGGTATACCGGTACAATAACATGTAAACCCACTTTTGTAAAAATATTTACAATCTAGTTCTGTGAAGAAAGAGTAATTTCTCTTTTCACTGTTTTTTTTTTTTTTTTTTTAGACAATAGAACTAAACTGAAAAATATATGCAGCTACCTTGAACTAAAATTATTGCAAGTTTCATTTTTCTAATTTTTTCTTTTTGGTGAAAAATACATCCTTTTTGCTTAATTTTTTTGTGCTGGAATCAGACAAAAATATCCTGCAGTATAAACAATGCTTTAGTCTGTAGCCTTACCCATTTTAAAACTGAGTAAGAAATATGGTACTTGTGAATTCACCAAGACAACATAAATGTAGCAACTGTTATTTTGCCAAGTTGTGTTTCTACACAAAGACATAATATATGTGGATTTAATTTCATATGTGTATACTTTTAAAGCATGCTGAAGCTTCAGTCACTGATTCAAATAAACATACCATTTTTATGTTGAATCTTAAACAAATACAATTCTTTTGTTTTTGTTTTGTTTTGTTGTTGTCAGCTCCTTCAGCACCCTGAAATAGGACTAGCTCTAATACCCATTGTGTACATCAGATCCTTCCACATTTCTATTTGACATGTACATAAATCACAACCTCTGAACATTCCTCTTCATCTTAAGTGTTTTTGTATTTAGTATGACTCATTTCTACTTCCTCTGAATCACAAAATCAAATTTTATATCAACAAAAATTTAAAGACCCCATACCAACTCAAGATTACCTCTATAAATGTGTCAAAAAATACTTCACACACTTACGAGCCACAGTGGTGTCTATAGGTATAGATTTTTGTATATATAAGCATTCCTCCAACGTTTTGTTTGTCTCTATTGATATCTCGTTTTTTTACAGATCATTCCAGATAAATTTTGAATTTTTTAAACATGCTGGTGACACTTGACATTCAAGATTATCAGCTTGAACACCAGATATGATGAAAATCTATGTAAATATAATAAGTCAATTTTTGAAATAATGATGAGGCTTAGGTAAATAAAAAAAAAGTATTTCCCAGTTAATGCTTTTATTTTCAAAATAAAAATAAAACAGGTATTGTATGCATTCATTTTCATATCAAAAATAAAATGAGTAACAGATACTCTCATTTTCAAAGTTTAAATAATTATTATTATTATTATTATTATTACATTCTTAATGGCCTGCCAACACACAAAAGGTCATTAGGGCCATCAAAGTTTAAATAAATCAGGAATCAAATACATGTTATTCAACGTAAGTATAAGCTTGAATATGATGACGTATTTTCATTGGTTGTAACTTTAGCAATATTCTGTTTATAGTTTATCAGTTTATCAAAGATTATTGACAAGTTACTAAATAAACTTTCCAGTGATGGTTACCTTGACAGACTTATATACATGTATATCGTATAAGATTGTTGGAGTCAGTTTATCCATGTAACAAAGTCCAAAGAAATAACATTATGATGCCCCTTGCAGTTTAATCTGCAATTCTGTCTTTTTTTTCTTACCTTTTTAACTATGCACTTCAACTTAAACTTAATAGGTTTTGATTTACATGTACAAAGATTGTATCTGTAGGTTTTGCTATGAAATTTCAAAAGTGCTGCAAGCCTTAATTTTTTTTTTACTCTATTGTTATGTAATGCATAAGGAACTGGCATGAACATCCAATTAGGTGGACAAATGATTAGACCAAGATAAAAGCAGTGGGGAGGGGGCACCCCAACGTTACCAGGGTAATGTTAGACTGTATTCCAAGATGACAAATGACTTTCATTTAGAACAGAAAATTTTGGGGTTGTTAAGCATCTGCTATGTATCAAAAATTCCTGATACAAAATGGAATTAGTCATTCTTTATCACTTGTACATTGTAAATTACTGACAAATGCAATGACTGTTCATTTTCATGTACGACAATTAATACAATGTGCCCAAACATTAGTCATAAACAGAGATGTGTACTGATGACCCATTTCTTACCGATACAGTGGCTGGCATCACAGACGTAACATATCCATGACACCTGATCCTATAAACGTCTTTATAAATTCAGTTTCTACATCAGCACGTCTAGACTAGATCCTTGATTTCAGGTTGTGTGAGTGGTGCAGTTTAATATCATTCACAGAAACTCAAGGTCATGTAAACACACATATATATATATATATATATTCAAATGTTCCAGGGAACAAGTACTTGTAAAAGACTATCAATTAGAAGAAGAAGGATGTTAAATGACAAAGTTGAAGGGATGAGGACAATGTTGAATGAAAGGAGGGAAGAAAGAGACAACAATCACAGGGAAAAAAGCTGTTAGTGGAGGGAGAAATCTGGAGGCTCTGAAGAGCTGTTAGTGGAGGGAGAAATCTGGAGGCTCTGAAGAGCTGTTAGTGGAGGGAGAAATCTGGAGGCTCTGAAGAGCTGTTAGTGGAGGGAGAAAACTGGAGGCTCTGAAGAGCTGTTAGTGGAGGGAGATAACTGGAGGCTCTGAGGAGCTGTTAGTGGAGGGAGATAACTGGAGGCTCTGAGGAGCTGTTAGTGGAGGGAGATAACTGGAGGCTCTGAAGAGCTGTTAGTGGAGGGAGATAACTGGAGGCTATGAAGAGCTGTTAGTGGAGGGAGATAACTGGAGGCTCTGAGGAGCTGTTAGTGGAGGGAGATAACTGGAGGCTATGAAGAGCTGTTAGTGGAGGGAGATAACTGGAGGCTATGAAGAGCTGTTAGTGGAGGGAGATAACTGGAGGCTATGAAGAGCTGTTAGTGGAGGGAGATAACTGGAGGCTCTGAGGAGCTGTTAGTGGAGGGAGATAACTGGAGGCTCTGAAGAGCTGTTAGTGGAGGGAGATAACTGGAGGCTATGAAGAGCTGTTAGTGGAGGGAGATAACTGGAGGCTCTGAGGAGCTGAAGTCTATAACAGGAGCAAAGGCTTCAGGAAGTTAAGGAAAGCACGATAATTGATAAATGGGAATAAATGTCCCATAACATTATCCAGTTAGGAAGGTTAGGAAAAGGAAGAATAATACTTGTTTTTATACCATAACCAGCGTTGAAACATGAACTAGATCTGTTCATGTGTTGGATGTAAGGTCTCAATCTGGTATATCAACTTTTAGGACAATCAAAGTAGAAAGGAAGTGATGATCAATGACAAAATTCCGTTTTATCATCAAGCTGTTGATAGTATTAGGTGCATATCCTTAAATTTGTTTACAATTTTTTCTGGCAACCACACACTTTTAAGATAAAAATATTTGTGCCATTCGAAAAAAAATAGTTAATGAAAAAAAAAAGTTAACGAAAAAAAAAAAATGCCTGAAATAACAGTATTCTAAACTGATTGTTAAGCACATCGACTGCTAATACTGTGTTCAGTTATTTAATAGTGATGACCTAGGCATATTATTTACAGCATCAGTATGCAGAGGCTCCCTAAAACACATCTACTACCAACTATACTATATAGAGTGCTATGATGAATTAGAAAATGAGGTGTTACTGCAGGCAGCCACTTATATAAATCTTGTTTTTATTGGAGTCACTTGTCTTAACAAGACGAGAAATGCCAGTGACAAGCTCATTACTACATTTGGCCTTCATTACTTCGTCCTTACCAAATTACTAGCGAGTGAAGGTTGGTGGTATTGGGCGCAGGGTTCTAGAACTCAGTTTTATTGAATTTTTTAGCTGGTATATTCTGTGTGATAAGGAGAGGTGATTCTGAGAGACTGCATATGATAGGTTTATGGGTGGAAGGGGATGAGTCATGATCAGAAACACTTGGATGTGGGGACACACCCTCAACATCATGGTAAGGTCAGAGAAAGCATCACAACTTATTGCACTATTTGGTATTCTGTATAATATACATTGTTGGGGTGTTTGACTCAGTATTGGACACATGGAAAAACATATCAATTTTGGTGATTACACATTAACAGGTCAAGGAAATCCACAAATTTGTATAAGATGCGAATTGGCCCATCTTACGCCAACTGGATTTGTTACTAAAAATAGCCAAAATCATTTTAGCAGTAACTTTTTCAATACATCATGAAAGCGACTATAATGTAAAATAAGACGAGAAAATTTTATAAAACGTTCTATTTTCCAATAGTATGTTACAAAACTAAGACTTTCTGTTAATTACTAAAATTAAATGTCACTGCAACCATTTTTTATTGATATCTAGAAAATAAAAATGTAAATATTGCGGTCCTGATCTAATTCATACATTAACACTCGTAACCCTGATGCTGCCCATGCTTATATGTCTAGAAAGAAGCAATATGGCAGACGCAAATACAAAAAAGTGACGAGGACCAAAAAGTTACCTTACAGAAAGTGCCATAATTGACTGTTAAAAATCATATATTATAACATTATAGAATCATTTACTGCGAACAAGAATTAGAAGAAAGGCACAAAAGCAAGTGTCACACATAAGACATGTGGGTTTGTTTACCTTGTAAGCTGTCTTTTCTTTGAGGCAGAAGTTAATGACTTCGTCACGTGACAAGGCATGTGACCCACTCTGCTTTTTTCGTAATCAACCAAGCGTGAACATGTTTATAAACAATAGTCAAGATAAACAATGTTCCAATGCTGAAAACATGTGGAAAAAACCCCAACAAATTTGACATTATAGGCGCATGTATTGCTTTATTATGGATATATTTTATCATTCACAAGCTGAATTCTCCATTTCCCGACATTGAAATCTAAGGTAATAGCCGCTTTAAAAGTCACATTAATATATGACAAGGTAAATAACTTCTTACTAAAAAAATGTTTAATGAAAGTTCTGCCTACTTAGAAACTTGAGGTAACAGTCACCACTATAGTAGCTGTAACTAGTAATAAAAGTCCATATCCCCAGGAAGTCCATACTTTCTCAAGAGAAAATCCTTTTTTTTCTTTTCAATTTAATTTTTTTTTTTGGCTGACATAAGTAAATCTATGGTTTTCCCCAACATGATTATTAAGCCTCTTTCAATTAAAAGGTCCTTGTTTCAGCGGTGACTAAATTAACTTGTGTTTGAAAGTTTTTGCATAAGGTGAAAATTAATTTGGCTGTTAGTACGATTTTTATAAAGGTTTGTTGTAAATGAATTGACAGGGACACAAAGACACAAATACATTTCTGAGTGCACTCAACGAAAAACTTAAAACGACTCTAACAAAATCCAATAAAGATGGTATCCACAATATCTTATTTCTCCAGTCCGAGTGAACAGATAATTAATGGCTGTACCTAGAAGTGACAGAACATAGAATAAACAGACATTACAGCAGACTAATATACATTTTCTTATGTATTTGTTTATAAGTTTATTCTCATTTCATAAATTTTGATTAATTTACAGTTGATCTAAATAAGTTGAATTATCACTTAATATAAATATTACAGTCAGTCTTGTAATCCTAACTTTTCACAGAATCAGAAGTCTAGTATCTGTCATGTAGTAGGCTCATGTGAGTTAATGAATGCAGTAGATAATTTTCAATCCAGAAAATACTTCCAGGTAAAACAAATTAAGACCAATGAGCTGCTCACCGAGACAAATCATTTAAATTTTATGACTTTCTATCACGCAGTTATTCCATTCAGCAGCTCTGTCTACCTGATCATGACAAAATATCACCTTATAAAATGCCTGAACATAACAACTGCTTCACTGTGCAATGAGGAAACAAGAAATAGTTCCTGGTAGAAACAAATCACAAATGAAATGTAAAGGAAAAAGGATTCTTGTTACATGAAACAATATAAGTGAAGTCGGAATATATTATAGTATAGAAATAGATCACATCCTGCCTTAATTATATCAAATACAGCTGATTCCGAGATTTTCAGTGTCAATTAAGACCATCTCATAACCATTAGAATTTATATCCTTAAATAGTTATGACCAATATAGCTTTTCATCTCCAAAAAATTCTACTCAAATTTTTGACAACATATTAGAAAGAAAACTGTTCCTCAATTAACAATTAAATCTCTCTCTCTAGTTACAACACTATCAGAACTCACAACACTTCTTCTGATCAGTCACACTTTCATTGCGCCATAAAGTATTTGAAATTATCCCTAATTCATTTGATCTGTTACCAATTCAAAAAGTTGCATTAATAATCATTGGTGAATGAGTTTACTTTTAATCACAAGCTTTTTAATATACCTGCATTAGTAGCTTACCACTCACATGAGGTGAGAGAACTGCTGACACCATGGTTATACTGATACTAGGTTACTTAGGGGCAAAGTAAGACATGACCAGTAGGAACAGGTCATCAGTGTGTCATATACACACAACTTAATCAAACCTGTCATTACAAAACACGATCAAAATCCACAATCGCAATAGTAAAAAATACACACTGCCCAAGGCAGATAAGTCAGGACAAAACATGTTAAAGGTTAGGTAAACTTAACGGTTAGGTAAGTACGCAAAAAACATGTTAAAGGTTAGATTAGTCACAGGACATAATATTCTGTAAGAAGAAATAATATCTTTATAGACATACAACATATATTATTGACTGTTAAAGCTACCCCGTCTCATTCCTCTTCCTAAAATGACATAATGAAAATGACCTCATTAACAGAACACATGTATATTCACATCATTGTTAACAATAAAATCAAAACCTGCTTATATATCTCGAGTAATCATGGATCAGGCGACCTCTCCCGTCTCTCCCCAGGGGACCTCTTCCGTCCCTCCCCTCCCCAGGGGACCTCTTTCCTCCCTCCCCATCCTAGTTGGTTTCCTAAAGATCTGCCAGTAGGGCATCTTGGAACTATATTGACTATAAGTACCTCATCATATATTTGTATAAGCAATAATATTATGACCAGGAGTATTAAGAATGTATCAGGTTATAATGAGTGTAAAACCAAACCTAGTATTTAAGCGTTATGCTGAAATTGAAAACAGTCATAACATGGAATGTCCAGTAAGATCACAGAGACATCATCATACAGTGAAAAATTCAAATCTCATCATCACAGAGGTCTTATAGTGGTTGTCTTGGGCTGCAGTTGTAACGCGACAGTGGTGGCCAAACGTGAAGGTTTTGCTTCTGCGTGGAAGCATGATTCATGTGAATATTGTGTGATTCAATGACAGAATCTACACATTCTTTGTGACAAATAATAAATCCATCTGTGATATACAGATGTAATGTTATAAATACATATGGGAACAATTCTGGTTCATTATCATTATAAAATTATATCACTCCCCTTTATTTGACCAGGAAAGCATACAGAGATGAAAAATAGTATGTAACCTGCAGGTGTCCGAATACACACAGAAAAAAATATTGTGTAACTTGCAGATGTCTGAATACACACAGAAAAATATATTGCACTCAAAAATCAAAATAAATCCAACCTTTATTGAAATGTATATAAATTATTGTGCTCAGTAGCTTTGTCAGCATTTTATCATTTTGAATGTTGATATAGAAAATTCATTATCCTGACTTCATTCCAACAGATATGAAGATAGATTATAAATGTACAGAAGTGATACTTATGCAAGTAAACTATAAACATTTTCATACAATCACCGCCAGAGATAAGTCTGTGGTACAATACACACAGGTGAAGACATATTGTATAATCTCAGGTCTGCCACTTACCAGACTGTTTGTGTGTGCATGTTCCATGCTGAACATGAAGTTATTAGCACTATAACACAGAGATTACAGATTGTGGTAATGTGTTATTCACCAGGTCGCCCAAAGGGACCTGTGTGACATGTTAAATTTAGTATGAACTAAGGTATATAAAGTACAGTTTGTCATTATGGTTAACGAGTTCCGGTGGTTAACAGTCAACTTGTTATCCTGGTAAACATGAAAACATAAAGGTATTTGGTCACAATTTCATTACAGTATCAGTTAAAACTTAATTAACACCAGAATCGTGTTAGTAAACAAATCGGCGGATCATGGATCACGCCAGTTGTCTGGTGAAGTGTTATTTACATGTGGTATGTTATCGTCAAGAATCGTCGACATATTATCTGGTATTACATCACATAACTGATAAATCTTCAGAAACAAGTGACAAAAAACAAACCTTAATATTAGAGAAGGTATTTACCTCTTGTTTCGGTGGCACCTGTTCTGGAGACTTTGCCAAATCATATGAGATAATTTCACGTTCGTGAGTAACGTCACGCTCGGGTAACCCCGAATTGACAGGTGTAAACTCCCCCGCAGTCACTGATCCAGAACTAGGGTTATATATCTCAACAGGTTCACTGTAACTGTTCCCCATAGTGTCATGTAAACATCCCGCCTGTGAATGAAAGTGTTCACGGTTAACGTTCTCGGTTCTGTCCTTTGTTCCCTTACGATAAGCTTTGCGAGTTTGAGAGTTCCTTTTGGGCTGCCCAACTGAGCCACTTGTTGTTGAGAACGGTTGTGTTGCAGTCTGCACGGGAGCCAGTCGACTGAAGGGCTCGGAATACACATCATCGCTCTCGGTGTGTTTTCCTGCTAACATCATTAATAGTAGGTTTGCAATTTCCCTCTTAACACGCACGTGCTACAGGCTGTACTGAGTGTGACAGGATGAGGCGGTAAGGGCCAAATATCATCTTCCTATCCAATCCCTATCTTTTGTCAGTCACAATTAAATACAACGACAAACATTTTCCTTCCTGGTTCGTCGCCGCACATGAAGAAATTTGTGAATTTTGATTGGCAGAAAATCACTATTTATCATGGGGCCGTTTTCAGGGGCGGGATTACAGGGGCTATTCCCCTTGATAACAATCGATAAGGCTCAGTCGCTGTGTACAAAGTATGGATTGTATTATAAGAGAATGCTGCTCCTAGTCTGTAATTTGAAGCCATGATAAAGACACTTTTTATAACTTTTCGTGTTTCTTATATAAACGGACAATATACTGTATAATTATTTGATATACGGAAGGAGTTTGCATCACGATAAAGTAAGTGAAAGTGGAGGGATATAAATATAGAAACTCGGTCAATTAAATCGTTAGAAACATTAATTATGGTGCGTCGCCCCTGTACATGGACGTGTACCTCTATCATACATATACTATTACGTTTTTATTTACAAATGATTCAAAATTCTAAAAATAGTAACAATAATGTAGTCATGAAAATGAAATAGAAATTCGAGATCGCTGTAGATGTATGAAGAATTGGCGATGAAGGTCTGCATTCAAGACCACCAGATCACTCATTCATTAACTAATTAAATTCAGTTTATCTTTCGGATGCATTTTCTACATCTCTCAAAAAACACATTGATCTCCTCGTCAATGCATTCAGAATCAGTTATCAATTGCAGTTAATCATAATTATGCACTGATATCGACTATCAGTTATAAAGATATCACATTGGAAACTGGAAACAATATCCGTGTATATCTTCGTCAAACCCGGTTGTGTGTCTAGTTTACTTTAGAAATCAAGCCCGCCGGAGTTATGCCCCTTTAATTGCGTACTAAGCTTCTTTTGGACGTGTAATGGTCAAAGAGGGAAACTAGCAAGACCGTGCAAATGTTTACTTCACTAGCAGTTTTACGACTTGATTTATTGAAACATGAGTGTTACCAAATATAGGAATAATTGCATCACCAAAATGTTTAGAATTATTATCACGTACAAGATAAATTGACGGAAGGAGGACAGACAAATTTAGTATAATTACTACATCAGTGTACAATTACTTCAATTTAGACATAAAGACGTAGGATCTGATAACAGATGTGGTAACAACAATCTCCCGAAATGTCAACAGAAATCTTAATTAAGAATAATGCTAATTACAACAGCAACATTTTTTTTTAAAAATCATGGTACATAATTTGTATACAGTGGTGTGGAGTGGTTTATAATTTGCATACAGTGGTGTGGAGTGGCATATAATTTGTATACAGTGGTGTGGAGTGGTTTATATTTTGTATACAGTGGTGTGGAGTGGTTTATAATTTGTATACAGTGGTGTGGAGTGGTTTATAATTTGTATACAGTGGTGTGGAGCGGTTTATAATTTGTATACAGTGGTGTGGAGTGGCATATAATTTGTATACAGTGGTGTGGAGTGGTTTATAATTTGTATACAGTGGTGTGGAGCGCTTTATAATTTGTATACAGTGGTGTGGAGTGGTTTATAATTTGTATACAGTGGTGTGGAGTGGTTTATAATTTGTATACAGTGGTATGGAGTGGCATATAATTTGTATACAGTGGTGTGGAGCGGTTTTTAATTTGTATACAGTGGTGTGGAGTGGTTTATAATTTGTATACAGTGGTGTGGAGCGGTTTATAATTTGTATACAGTGGTGTGGAGTGGCATATAATTTGTATACAGTGGTGTGGAGTGGTTTATAATTTGTATACAGTGGTGTGGAGCGGTTTATAATTTGTATACAGTGGTGTGGAGCGGTTTATAATTTGTATACAGTGGTGTGGAGTGGCATATAATTTGTATACAGTGGTGTGGAGTGGTTTATAATTTGTATACAGTGGTGTGGAGCGGTTTATAATTTGTATACAGTGGTGTGGAGCGGTTTATAATTTGTATACAGTGGTGTGGAGTGGCATATAATTTGTATACAGTGGTGTGGAGCGGTTTATAATTTGTATACAGTGGTGTGGAGCGGTTTATAATTTGTATACAGTGGTATGGAGTGGCATATAATTTGTATACAGTGGTGTGGAGTGGCATATAATTTGTATACAGTGGTGTGGAGTGGTTTATAATTTGTATACAGTGGTGTGGAGTGGCATATAATTTGTATACAGTGGTATGGAGTGGCATATAATTTGTATACAGTGGTGTGGAGTGGTTTATAATTTGTATACAGTGGTATGGAGTGGCATATAATTTGTATACAGTGGTGTGGAGCGGTTTATAATTTGTATACAGTGGTATGGAGTGGCATATAATTTGTATACAGTGGTGTGGAGTGGCATATAATTTGTATACAGTGGTGTGGAGCGGTTTATAATTTGTATACAGTGGTGTGGAGCGGTTTATAATTTGTATACAGTGGTATGGAGTGGCATATAATTTGTATACAGTGGTGTGGAGTGGCATATAATTTGTATACAGTGGTGTGGAGCGGTTTATAATTTGTATACAGTGGTGTGGAGTGGCATATAATTTGTATACAGTGGTGTGGAGTGAAGGGATGACAATGATATGTGTAAACCTGGAGGGAAACAATTACTCGTTGTTAAGTTACAGATCACGATGAAAACATAATCAGTAAAGGTAAGAATCTGACATGACACCTTACTCACCCTCCACCGCCCAGGTAGAGGATGGGGATATAAGTAACTGATACGACGAACGCCGTAGATACGTATCTAGGATATCGTTTGTTAAAGAATAATACATGTACAGCAATGATTATTTCTTAATTTCAAGTCAATTACATTCATATAATTCTACACGAACCTCCTTGAGAACACAACATCACGTTTTAATCAGTTTCAACCAACCTTTGGTAATTAGATATCTCCTTAGTGATATTACTCTAAATATACATTTTCTGCTATGTCCTCGGCATTGAAATATATTGTTTCGCAACCATATTGAAAACAGAGGAAACAATTACATAATAAAGGTAATAGTTTACATTCTTCATTGAATTATAAGTATATTACACATCCTTTTTCAGCCTTATTTTATAATTCACCAACAACTACCATTTCTTTTCGTTTAGAATGGCACGGATCAAGGAACATGTACAACACGACGGGAAACAGTGTTGTCAGCACCACCAATTTTAAGTCTTTGTCAGTGGTTTGAAAATAAAAAAGAAAACAATATCAATGACGATGATATGTATGTAAATTAATATTATCAATAGCTTACCTAAGTAATGACGTCAATCATGCGTGACATGGAAACACGACCAGGAAACGCGTTAAGTGATCAGTCAGTTCACTTGGTCATTCGAATAAACACTGGGTAACACGAGCACTAGATAACACGAGCATCAATAACACGATCCATGGTAACCCTGACCACTCATCAACATTGAAACTACTTAACACAACGACTTATTAACATGGCCAGTAATGTGAACTTACAGGTGTTATAAACATGTACTTACAGGTGTTATATACATGTACTTACACGTGTTATATACATGTACTTACAGGTGTTATATATATGTACTTACACGTGTTAAATACCTGTATTTACAAGTGTTATATATATGTACTTACACGTGTTAAATACCTGTATTTACAAGTGTTATATATATGTACTTACACGTGTTAAATACCTGTATTTACAAGTGTTATATATATGTACTTACACGTGTTAAATACCTGTATTTACAAGTGTTATATATATGTACTTACACGTGTTATATACATGTACTTATAGGTGTTATATACATGTACTTACAAGTGTTATATACATGTACTTACAGGTGTTATATACATGTACTTACACGTGTTAAATACCTGTATTTACAAGTGTTATATATATGTACTTACACGTGTTAAATACCTGTATTTACAAGTGTTATATATATGTACTTACACGTGTTAAATACCTGTATTTACAATTGTTATATATATGTACTTACACGTGTTAAATACCTGTATTTACAAGTGTTATATATATGTACTTACACGTGTTAAATACCTGTATTTACAAGTGTTATATATATGTACTTACACGTGTTATATACATGTACTTATAGGTGTTATATACATGTACTTACACGTGTTATATACATGTACTTACAGGTGAATACACACTGAAAGTCAAAGGTAATGTATATGTTATATATGAAATTAAAGATTGGAACTAAGGATTCAGTTTTAGTAATTTTTTTTAGTTTTGAGTGCTTTGTCCCGATCTGCCGTCCTGTCTGTACAAGTTTTTTTATATAATAAGAAAAGCCATACTTATTATACAATCTATGAAAAGTTGATGATAAGACAGACAGACATACAGACGGACGGACTGACGGACGGACAGACAGACAGACAGACAGACAGACAGTCAGTCAGTTGGACAGTCACTCAATAACATGATCAATTTAGAACCGAAGAAACTGAATGAGTATTTCTCTTGAAAATATATATAAAAAAGCAACAAAACTTCATTTACAATTATCGTTTAATGAAAGGAACAACTTTGTACACCGTGATAAGCTACTCATCAGGGCACAGTCTTCTTTATCCCATGAAAAGACCAATATGTCTTGGAAACCTCCGTTTCCTGTGGGAGTTATACTGAAAAAAGAATTTATTTAAGTGTAAGACAACAAATATATTAGGTACGTAATTATTACATAACAACGAATGTAAAAGGTTTTTATATAATTGATTTATTCATATCTATATACTGTATCATACATTCTGTTGGAAATAACAAAACAATTATGGGATGACATCAGTACAGACACTTAGAATCCGAGGAAGCGACGAGTTAAGTGAACCCTACAAGCAACGTACCAGTGAGGCGAAGGAGTGAACATATTCGGGTAAGTTCTGATAGTCA